ATTGAAATTGAGGAGACAAGATCCCTAATGCCCGCCAATTTATGCAAGGAGCGAAATGCAATCGTGGAGAGAGCAAACGAGATTTCACTCTTTGGCTCGCAAATGTTGTTATCATATGTTTCTCTTTTTTACTAGTCAAATATTAGTACACATTTTTTGTGGGGCCCGTTAGAGATAGAAAATCAAAGGAAAAGTAAGACATGTGCGTGTTTCGCGCATCTACGGGGCTAGTTAATACATTTTTATTCATGAATTTATTTTAAATCTAACAAAACAATAAATGCATCCGATACCATCATCACTAGCCGACATACAAAAATCACCAAATTAATTAACTTATTTCCCAATTGCAAAAATTTTCAAGGAAACAAAAAGTAAGGAGACAAGATCCCAGATTCCAATTTTTTCAAGGTGCGAAATGCAATCGTGAAGGGAATAAACAAGATATCCACCCTTTGCCCGCAAATGTTGTTATCATATATTTCTCCATTTGCAATCAAATGCTTGTACACCTTTTTGTAGGCCCTATCAGAGAGTGAAAAACGAAGGAAAAGTAAGACACGTGGGCATTTCGTGCATCTACTAAAAAAGTAAATCTAATTTTTTTTTCTTGAATTTTTTTAAATCTAACAAAACAATGAATGCTTCCGATACAATCATCACTAGCCAACTTACCAAAATCACCAAAATAATGGACCAAATTAATTAACTAATTTTCCAATTACAAAAAATTTCTTGATCATACACAAATCAAAGATCAAAGAAGGACCGGTGAGGAGCCAAGATCCCAGATGGCTAATTTTTGCAAAGGGCGAAATGCAATCGTGAAGAGAGAAAAGGAGATATCCACTCTTTGCGTGGAAAATGTTGTTATCATATGTTTATCCATTCGCGATTAAATATTTGTACACGTTTTGTGGGCCCCATTAGAGAGAGAAAAACGAAGGAAAAGTACGACAGGTTCGCGTTTCATGCATCTACTATACTGGGCGAGTACGTAAGTCCACTTTTTTTTTTTTGAACTTCTTTTTAAATCTAACAAAACAGTGACTGCATCCGATATCATCATCACTAGACGACATACCAAATTCACCAAAATAATGGACCAAATTAAATAATAAATTTTGCAATTACAAAAATATTCTTGATTATACACAAATTAAAGATCAAAGAAAAATGAGTGTAAGTGATGAGACAAGATTCCAGATGATAATTTTTGCAAGGAGCAAAATGCAATCGTGAAGAGAGCAAACGAGATATTCATTTTTTGCGTCACAAATATTGTTATCATATGTTTCTCCATTTGCAGTCAAATATTTGTACATATTTTTGTGGGGCCCGTTAGAGAGAGAAAAGCAAAAGAAAAGTAAGACATGTGCGCATTTCGCCATCTACTGGACGAGTAAATATAGTTTTCTTCTTAAACTTTTTAAAATCTAACGAATTAAAACAGTTAATGCATCTAATACCATCATCACTAGCCAACATACAAAAATCACCTAAATAATGGAACAATACATGCACAATAAGCGCCTACTTGATTTAATTTTTTTTTCTTTAAAAAAAAAACCCAATAAGTTACACATTATAGAGTAAACATTTAAAATCTAGGCTCCAATTCACAACAGGTTGGATTATATAAATTTTTCTAACAAACAATTATCATGTTTCTAGTATTTAATATAAAAATGTTCCATCAACTTTTGCGATTTTATAATTATGTTCCAGGCCTTTTTATTTGACATTATTTAGTCCTCAAAATATTAATTTTTTTCTTGAATATAGTAGAATTAATTAGGAATATTAATATAATGACTTGATTAGGAATATCAATATAATAAATTAATTATGGCAATACCTTAAATAAATAAATACTCCGTACAATTTTCTTTTGAAAAATCTTACAAATTTATAATTCTCATATTTTTCACCTATAAATACAATGAGTTGATGACTAAAAAAAATTAAAGTCTTCATTTTACATTGCATCCCTCTTTTCCTTGCAGGTGAGTCTCTCATTCCGTTCTTGGAGAAATATAAAAACAATGTAGGAGTTGTACTTTAATTTTTGTGTGTGTGTAAGTTACGTGCAACATGTGTGCATGCACGATACACATATTGTATTTGTACTCATACATTAAAAGATATATAATACAGTGTGTATATATATGTATAATATTATATTTCGAATTATTATAATTAAAAAGAAAGTATTTTTTGAAAACTAAAAAAAAATACGGAGTATTTAATTAGCGTTGGTACCGGCCGAAATCTTGGTGGCGTGCCATTGTTGCTTCCACTTTCACGCTCCATTCTTGAGTTCCAATAAGAATAAAATAATTGAAAACTGTCACCAAAAATTTTAATTGAAAATATTTGCTTTGAAAAAAAAAAAAAAAAAAAAAAACTGTGATTGTATTTATGAAGGATAAATTTTAATAAAGATCCTCTGACTATGGTGATTATTCAAATTTAGTCATTTTTTATTTTTAATTTTGTCAAATGTAATCCTTGATTATTAAAGTATTTTCACCAATGGTCTATCGGTTACATTAGCCTTATTTTTCTGTTGAGTTAAGAGGTATATTCGTCTTTTCATAGTGTCAATATCTTCTTCCTTTACCCCCCTCCTCCCTCTCAATTGTGAATAATATTTTTTAGGCAGCTCAGTTGGTCAGGATTGGTAAAATGTATTATGTATTGTATTTATTCACACCCTGGTGAAGCTTATTTATACAGGAAGAGATTAGAAAACAACCAAAAGAATAGACATAACAACCTCTAACAGCCTAGTAAGACTCTAACTGTTCAATAGTCAGAAGGGTAAAGTTTGATAACAATGATTCGAGATTAAGTCTCATCATCAGTGCCAGTGTGGGAGCAACCTCTCAAAGTGAGGGGGTCCTTGTGCGCAGTAATTAAGCAAATGTCTAGCCTCAGTATTCAGCTGAGTTACCATGATTTACGTTGGGGATTCAACCTTTTAGGAACAATTAAACTCCTCAATAAATTAAACTCAAAACCCTTAACAAAACACCTCCGAATATATAATAAAAAATTATTGTAATCATAACATTAAAAACTTATAATATAATTCAGTCTATACGACATTATAGAAAATTTCATAAGAAAGTCTTATATCGAAATGAAGGTTTGGAACCTAAAAAGAAAATATTGAAGAGAATGATATTTCAACTGTAGTCAAGGACAATTATTATGAGCCCCTGCAAATTGGAACAGTTGGGCTGCTTCAAGTGCTTGCACCATAGACTCTACTGGCTGCAAATTAAATATAGAATTACTAATTAGAGTTAGTAATTAACAGCGTAACATTGAAAATTGAAATCTTAAATAAAAGAAAAAAAAAAGAAAAAAAAAAAAGAAAGAAGAAAAAGTCCATCGCACGCACCACGCACGTACGAAAATTAATTTACAAGACTAAAACACTAATTATATTAAAATTTTAAATTTCAATTATCTTTTACAATTTTATTTTTTGGAAAGTATGGAAGGGGGAAATCCAATTTACATAATAGGATTATCTAATTGCCTCCAGACTAGAATACCGGCTTTGTCTTCTTCTAGGAGAGATCATCTGGGGCCTCATCATAGATCTTTAGGCCGGCATGTGGGCTGGATAAGTTGGCTAAATAGTCTGCTGCTCGGTTATGTTCTCTGGGAGCGTACATTATGGTCCAGTTAGCTATGTTGTTAAGTTCTCGCCTGCATGCATGAATAATGTTTCTTGCAACATTATCCACAACCCCTTCTTGGTTCGCAGCCCTGACTATCCTCATGGAGTCACTTTCGAAACAAACCTTATTCAGTCCCAGAGTGGTGGCTAGTTGAATACCTCTCAAGAGTGCCCACGCTTCTGCGGCATCGATCGAGCAAGCCCCGATGGCATATGTGAAGCCTTTGGACCATCTTCCTTGATCATCCCTGATTAATCCTCCACACCTAGCTTGGTTTGCGGTGGTGTTGAGACATGCGTCAATATTAATTTTTGACCAGCCGTCTGGTGGTCTGGTCCATCTGATAAGTGTCCACTTACGTGTTGCTGCTTTTGTCCTCATCATGCCTGATTTGTTAAAGGCCTCATTGATGTCTCTACATTGTGAGTGAATCCAGTAGACTTTCTGGTCTAGGCTTGATTCCTTATCATTGAATATCCTGTCATTTCTCCACCTCCATAGCCACCAGATTGCTACCGCGAAGGTGATGTTATTATTGTGCTTTCGTCTATTACATCCCCAGCCTTTAACACCTGCATCGAACCACTCTAAGAACGTCGAAGTGTTGGTATTTATATCTGTGTTAGGTGTGACTGCTTCCCATAATATCCTAGCCTTAGGACAGGCCCTGAAGATGTGCTCCGTTGATTCTATTTGATCACCACAGAAATCACAATATGCATTATCCATGAAGCCTCTCTTGAATCTATTTTCGTTTGACATGATCCTATCATGCCTGATAAGCCAAAGGAGGAATTGCATTTTGCTCGGAATTTTGAGCTTCCAGATATTGCTCCAGTCGCGCGTCTCAGGTTGGGGGTGAGGATTGGATATAAATGAGTAGGCTGACGAGACAGTGAACTCACCGGTGGAGTTATAGCCCCAACTAGTAACGTCCTCCACTTCATCGCTCTCTGTTAATATGAAGGCTTCTAACTTCTGTAGGACCTGAGTTGGCAAAAGGTCCATGAGTTCATCCCATTTCCATCCTCTGGTCGTTTCCCAGTAATCTGATACTCTTGCATACAAGATTGGTAATGGCAGGGTAACTGTAATAAAGTTGATCAGGGGTTGGTGGTCAATCCATGGTTCCAACCAAAACATTGTATTCTTTCCATTCGCCACGGCTTTTCTAAGGCCTTTTTTCAGGTTAGGTGTTGTCTTTAGGATCCATTTCCAAGCATTAGACATCCCTGACTTTGGTTGCCATGTGTTAGGGTCTAGAGCCTGAACCCCATACTTGGCCTTTAATATTTGTGCCCATAATCATTCTTCGCCCGAGTGTAGTCTCCATCCCAATTTCATCATAAAAGCTAAATTCATGTTTGCCAGATTCCTAATTCCAATACCTCCATCCTTCGTATCCTTCGTGACTGTATCCCATGCCACAAGGTTGCACTTCCTATTGTTGACAGACCCTCCCCATAGGAAGGCTCGAATAAGTTTTTCAATTTCATCAAGGATTCCCAGGGGAATAAGCGTAGATTGCATTGCATACATAGGTATGGTCGAGAGAATTGCTTGGGCAAGGACCTTCCTTCCTGCTAAGGTGAGGGTTTTCATTTTCCAGCCTGATAACCTGTCTCGAATCTTATCAACAATCCCTTGAAAGGAGTCTTTTTTCAGTCTGCCGTGGTGAGAAGGTACCCCCAAGTATCTGCCTAAGTTGTCAGTAACTGTAATACCCAGAATCTCAGCTACTTGTTGGATGGCAGAGGGAGTGTTCTTCGAAAAATGCAGTAGGGATTTGTCGAAGTTCACCTTCTGCCCTGAGCTATTGCAGAAAAGGTCTAAGCAATGTTTGATTACCCGTGCTTGTTCTGTTGATGCTTCTCCAAAAAGAACCATGTCATCGGCAAAAAGAAGGTGAGAAATACACGGACCATTTCTGGCTACTTTAATCCCTTTCCAAAGACCTTTCTCCACCTTCTCATGGATAAGGTGGCTTAATCGTTCAATACACAGTACGAAGATAAGCGGGGATATAGGATCACCTTGTCGGATGCCCCTTGATGGCTTGAGCCATTGTGAAAGCTTGCCGTTGATGGAGACTGCCAATCTTGCTGTTGTAATGCAACCCATGATATGTCTAACCCAGAGATTACTGAAACCTGCCTCTTGAAGGGTGTCGTGGATAAAACTCCATGATAACCTGTCATAAGCCTTCTCAAGATCAATCTTTAGGATCATTAGCCCTGTTTTCCCTTTTTTTTTTACGGTTGGCTGTATTTAAGAGCTCTTGGTATGTGATTATATTGTCCACTATTTGACGCCGCCCGGGGACGAAGCTTGACTGATTTTGTCCAATGAGTTTCTGGATGACTAACTTCAGTCTAGTAGTGAGAGTCTTCGAAATAACCTTGTAAGAAGTATTGCACAAGCTGATGGGTCTAAGCTGCTTAGCATTTTCTGGATTCAGAACTTTTGGTATCAAGGTTATGATCGTATCATTACATCCTTCTGCAAGGACGCCAGTTTTTAAGTAGTCCATTACAAAGGACACTAAGCTTTCTCCCACCACCGACCAGTTTTGTTGGAAAAAACCAGCATGGTACCCATCGGGACCGGGGGCTTTGAAGGGGGCCATACGAAACATGCCTGCTTGATTTCTGCGGGTGTGACAGGAGCGTTAACATAATCCCATACGGTTTTGTGCAAAGCTAGGAATGTCTTACTCCAGGCCGTGCGGACTCTATTCTGTCCTCTTCCGTATATAGCTCTCTGAAGAATTGAGTAATATGATCCGAAATGTCCTCATCTGAGTCCAGCCAATCACCTTGACAGTTTTTTAACCTGGTGATTTTCGAATATGCCTTTCTGACAGTTGTGGCAGCATGATAAAAGCCTGTATTCCGGTCCCCGGTTGCTATCCAGTCTTCCCGTGACCTCTGAAACCAATAGAGTTCTTCTTGATTAAGGATTTCATCTAGCTCCTTATGCAGTTTGTTATTCAGCTTGATCAAGCCAGTCCTTGGGTGACTATCAAGAGCTCTTTGTGTTCCTTTGATTCTTGCTAGGACTCTTCTTTTCCTTTGGAATATATTCCCAAAAGAGCTGCGATTCCAACTTTGAAGCTTTGCTGCTAGTGCCTTTTTGGCTTGTTCAAGTGATTGGTCTGAGTTCCAATTATTCTTGATGAAGTTAGAGAACTCCGGGTGTGACGCCCAGGCTGCACTGTACTTAAACTCCTTCGGACCAAAATGCTTATGGCTTAGCATCGTGCTGATAAGGATGGGGGCATGATCAGAGTTGATTATGGGAAAATGGTATACCCTTGCATCCGGGAAGCGTAATCTCCATTCAAGGTTGCTCAGAGCACGGTCCAGCCTGGCTGCCCTAAAAGAGGTTGTACTAAGACCTCTGCGCCATGTAAATTGGGGTCCCTCATAGCCTAGATCAATTAATCCTTCCTCGAAAATCCATCTCCTAAACCCTGCACATCGTGTAGAAGATAGATTAGTACTAGAAACCTCATTAATAGAAAGGACAGAATTGTAGTCACCAACTGAGAGCCACGGTCCCTGCAAGTTAAGGCCTACTTGAGATAATTCCTCAAATAGGTATTGTCTGAGGGCGTGATCCGGGCTGCCATATACAAAGGAGAGATTCCAAGGTTGTGAATTTTCCTCTTTAATACTCAGTAAAATGAATTGAGGGTTGGTCTTATGGGTCGCTACTTGGAGGACATCTTTCCAAAGGACCCATATACCACCCGAGAAGCCAAGGGCTTCGACTCTAAGCCATTGGTCGAAACCAAGATCAAAGCAAATATCATTAGCTTGTTCTCCAGAAACTTTTGGTTCCAGGAAGCACAAAATGCTGGGTTTATGCTCATGCAAGAAAAGTTTGAGGGTACGGCGAAATGTTCTTGATGCCGCCCCATGGCAATTCCAAACTAAAACATTCATTAAAAACAAATGGGGGAAGAGGAACAAGCTAAATTGAGCGTAGGGGAACCCAAAGCCGAGCTATGCCGACTTTCTGACAGATTAGCAACATCCAAAGCCTCATTTGGCGTATCACAGTCAAAGAAATCAGCTCCCTCATCAGGAGCCATTTCGACATCAGGGCTTGGTGTGTGGTGATCAGAGTTTATTCCGAGGTCAATCTGACGGTGGTTGACAGTAGTTCTTGATATTGGTTGTCCTCTCACCGACCCCCTCACAAGTGTGTGCTCATCAACCGCTGCTGCCCTTCGAGGGATAGACGACCTTTCCCTTCTGTCCTGTTGGGAGGGTCCCGCCGTCCTAATTCCCGGTAACCGGTTGGTAGGAGAGAGGAGATTGTTAGGATCCTCACTTCTCTGCTCAACTGGTCTTGAAGATCCATTTGTCGGGTGCCTGGTAGGACCTCTGTCGACTGGGGAAGTAGTGTTCATAGTGGGACTTGGTGGATTCCTTCATCCTTGATGAATGTGAGAGCTAGGCTGCTTAGTCCTCGTTCTTTGTTGGGAGGTGGAGGAATGGGTTGGATTCTGGGCAGCGGCCGGCGGCTCATCCATAGGTGCTTTACCCAGGTTCCTCTGAGTTATGATCTCTTCTTCCAACACTTCCTCTCCCAAGTTGTCGTCTTCCATGTTACTCAGTGGACCAAATCTGGTCGCGTGATTGTGCTGGTTGGAATTATTTGGGTTAATAGGGGCTTGAGTTCTTTCCTTCGTGTACTGCCTCTGACTAGATCCTTGGTTGCCAAGTTTTTTTGTTGCTCGTCGATCTTTCCTTGTTACTAGCATCCAAGGACCAAATCTCTCTTTGAGGTGGTTTTTGGATGGTTGTTCCTGGTGTCTCTCGTCCGGTACCTGGGGTGGAACACTATCCTTACCATTGCATGCTTCTTCGCTCATAGAATCTGGAATGGGGTCAGGTCGTGTAGGCATATTCAGGCCACAAACTTCCGATTTATGTCCATACTTCCACATTTGAAACAGATGAGATGAATCCCTTCATACTCTATCGGATATTCCTCATCTTTGATTGTGAATTTCGCAAGAAGTTGCTTCGTGATATCGATTTCTACATAGATACGCGCGAACTTTCCTCGGGATGCTAGGCAAGTGGTATCGTCGATCTTGACCGTCTTCCCAATCTTATCCCCCAGTTTAATCAGTGTGTCCTCATCAAAATACTCAACTGGGATGTCAGGAAGTCGCACCCACACACAGGTCTAAAATTAGGCTTCCATTGCTGGACAACCAAGTAGTGATCCTGAATTACCCACGGGCCCTCGCATCTTGCGATGTCATAGTCTCTCTGGAGCTCAAATCTGGCCAAGAAATAGTCATGTTCAAGATCTATTAGTTCCATCTGCCCTTCAGGTTTCCATAGCGAGCAAAGCCGGCGGACTAAGAAGTTGTAGCCAATCAATCTACCCATGAGCTGGATGATAAGGGTTCTCCTCCAGGGTTTCCTAATTCTGAGTTTCTCCTCCTTTGATAGTCTGATTCTTGGGCATTCTGGGTCATCTTGTTCCTCTGAACCTTCATCATCCGAAGTGTCGTCCTCGCAGCCCTCAAGGTCATCCTTCTTGTAAGTTATGAACTTCCGTAGACTTAACTTGTAGCTAGCTGGTAAGGGTGGGGGTATGGGGGTCGATCGATTTCCTTCGGTCCCTGTATCCATAGATTCCGAGAATGCCTCTGTTGTTGAATTCACGTTCGTCGAGAATGGGTCCTCTGTTGCACTGTCCATCGGTGGTGAAGTCATCGGCGAATCCACCTGGTCTCGGGTTCTCTTGGACTTCTTAGATGATCTCTCGCGTAGAAGTGGTTCCTCCGGTGACCGATTGGTCGCCGCCAGTTCCGTCTCTTCAGAAGGTGTGTCCGTATTCATATCGCATTTCTTAAACATAGTATCTTTTACAATTTATTAAAATACTAAATTTTGATTATCAAATTTGAAAAATATCAAAAAATATTTATGTTATTGTATAATAATTCTAATAATAATAAACCTTTTTTATATAAATTTAACATTTATTTTTTAGAAAATAACTAATTAAAACGTAAATTAAATCAATTTATTTATTTCTTCACAACTGTACTCAATCATGATCCGATTTACAAAAATGCATGTAATAATTAATTTTTTGGACTTTTCATTATATATCTACAACGTAAGCAACCTTCACTGTTTCTTTTATTGAACATACATTATATTTTTCCAACTAATTAATTCAACGTTACATTAGTTATTTGAAACAAAGTTAAAACATTGTAAAGGGATTGCTTATAAATACATTGGTTGTATTAGGCCTAAGATTTTTGTCATGGCATTATTAACGGAGTGTTTATCGTTTCCTTCATCCATGTGCAATTTCATGCTACAAAAGATATTGTTGAGTTTGTCTCATATAGCAGGAATTAGGAATATGAGTTTTTATGAATAGAACTGAAGTGGTTTGACCCATAGTATAGGGATGGCTTATAAATACATTGGTTGAATCCCTGAGATGTTGTATCACCCTATCACTATCACTATGAATTAAAGAATATCCCTAAAGTGTTGTATCACTCTATCACAATTACTAATCACATTGCCTAACCACGTAAATCTTGCATTCTCTACATTTCTGTCATTATTATTGTTTCTTGATCTTGTTAATCTCAATACACATATTGTAGGCAAGACAATATAATTCATATGAAAGTGATAAATATCAATGTTGCAAAACACGTTAGGCGCCCCCTAGGCGGCAAGGGGGCGCCTAGGCGCCGATTTTTTTTTTTTCATTTTTTTAATTAAAAATAAAATTTAAAATTAAAAATTTTTAAAATTTAGTAATAAAACATAAGATTTCCATAATTATTTCTTAGAAACTATTTACGAAAATGTTTGTAAAAGTGTTCAAAAGATTGTTTAAACCATCTAAATACATAAAAAAACTAAAATTAATAGCTAAAGAAGCATTTGAAAAAAAATTGTCCAAATCGGACAACCGAGTCAAAAGTTATGCCTTCCCGAACTTTTCACAATTTAAAACGCAAAAAAAAAAAAAAATTATTTAAAGCACCGGTTCAGCCGGCTAGGCGGCCGTCTAGACCGCCTAGCCGGCCGGCCGCGGAGGAGGCCGATTCCAGCCTTCTTCGCGGCGGTGGCCGGGTGCCTAGCGCCTAGGCGCGATTTTTGCAACCTTGATAAATATCTAGTCTTATGAGGTAATCTATTGTAAAAAAAATAAAAATAAAAATAAAATAAAATAAAATAAAAACCAATACGTTACACATTAGAAAGTAAACATTTAAAATCTAGTGTCTAATTCGCAATAGGTTGGATTATATAAAGGGAAAATAGCACTTTTTTCCCCTGAGTTATATATTTATAGCATTTTTTCTCCCTAAATTATTGAAGTGGCTGTTTTTCCCCCTGAAATGTTAAATGGACATATTTACCCTTAAACTAAATATTTAATTTATTTTTTTCTCCAACAAATTATGACCATAATTTGATTCAAACCAAACAAACACTATAGCAACCAAACCGAAATATTCCAATTACAATTTAGAATCGAAATTCGATATTTAGAGTTTATTAAAATCGTGAACTGGAACGGACGGTTAATGTTCCGAACTGAAAAAATAAAATACATTTATTGTTGAATTTAGACTATTTTAAAATAAAGATGGTTCAAAATCACGAATCAGATCCGGAACCGCCGATTCACGGTTCAAGATTCAATTTTTTTGATACATAATTTAAATAAATTGACATTTAAATATTGGGTTCTAGATCTGAATTATAACCGGAAACTATTAATTCGATTGCTGTAGTATCCGGTTCAATTCAAACCGAACCGTGGTCATCCCTACGTATACGCAATAATTTGTTGGAGTAGTAAAATAAATAAAATGTTTACTTTAAGGGTATAAATGTCAATTTAATATATCAGGGGGAAAAAGTACCACTTTTAGAATAATTGAGGGGACTGATATGCTTACCTAAATAATTGAGGGGAGAAAATTGCTATAAGTATATAACTCTGGGGTAAAAAGTGACATTTTCCCTTATATAAATTTTTCTAACAAACAATTATCATGTTTCTAGTATTTAATTATAAAAATGTTTCTTCAACTTTTGCGATTTTATAATTATGTTCCAGACCTACCTTTTTATTTGAAAATAATTTGTCCTCTAAATATTAATTTTTTACTTTTCGTTTGATCGTTCTTTCAAAAGGTTGAATTCACAATCACAAAATTGTTATTCTTTATTTTCTTTTAAGATAGCTATGTAATTTTGGTTCATAGAATATGTTGAAAATGAAATAACATTCATGTGAATATAATAGATCTATTGTAAGGAAAATAACTATTCTTATGATTATGTTGATATTATTATGCTATTCCTTTAGGACAAGTGATTGTGTGCCCCAACACAGAGAGAAAAACGAAGGAAAAGTAAGACACGTACGTGTTTTGCGCATTTACTGGGTGAGTAAATATACTTTTTTTTCTTAATTTTTTTTTTAAATCTAACAAAACAATGAATGCATCCGATACCATCATCACAAGCCAACATACCAAAATCACCAAAATAATGGACCAAATTAATTAACTAATATTTCAATTACAAAAATTGTCTTCGTCATACACAAATCAAAGATCAAAGAAGAATGAGTAAAAGTGATGAGACAAGATCCCAGATGACAGTTTTTGCAAGGAGAGAAATGCAATCGTGAAGAGAGCAAACGAGATATTCACTTTTTGCATCACAAATGTTGTTATCATATGTTTCTCCGATTGCAGTCAAATATTTATACATATTTTTGTGTGGCTCATAAGAGAGAGAAAAACAAAAGAAAAGTAAGACATGTGCGCGATTCGCCATCTACTAGACGAGTAAATCTAGTTTTTTTTCTTGAACTTTTTAAAATCTAACAAACCAGTTAATGCATCTGATACCATCATCACTAGCCAACATACAAAAATCACCTAAATAATGGACCAATACATGCACAATAAGCGCCTACTTGATTTAATTTTATTTTTCTTTTTTTCTTAAAAAAAAATCCCCAATAAGTTACACATTAGAGAGTAAACATTTAAAATCTAGTTTCCAATTCACAATAGGTTGGATTATATAAATTTTTCTAACAAACAATTATCATGTTTCTATTATTTAATTATAAAAATGTTCCATCAACTTTTGCGATTTTATAATTATGTTCCAGGCTCCAGGCCTTTTTATTTGACATTATTTAGTCCACTAAATATTAATTTTTTCTTTTCTAACAAGAGTCAAATATATTACTTGAATTCTACCATGTTTCTAGTATTTAATTATAAAAAGAATTTTTCTCATTTTTGGTCCCACGACTATAGTGGCACTCATGGACGGAGCTACTGTGGACAAATTATGCTGTGCAATCGTGTGCACCACTGTT